TCTCCATGATGCATTCACGAAAATAGAGTGTCATGTTGTTGCAAAACAACTGAAAGGTTTGTTGAATATGACTTAATATTCAAAGGCTAAGATTTTATTTTTCAGTGAATCAACAAACACAAGGTCAAAACGATCAGCAAAAACTCTCACTTCAAAGGGTGTGGGTGTGAACCTTTAACTCTTCCATACTCACGTCCACAGCAACACCTACGCACCCACACCCACACCCTACAATATAACTAAATCGATAGTTTATTAGCATTTAGAATTAATCAACATAGCACAAAAAAAATACACTATTGACAATCAATGTTACAGCCATAAATAACAGTTCGAATCAACAAGTTTTATCGAATACTCATCGGTTTTCTTTTCTGAATCAATCATAACTTTTAACTTTTCAAACCACATGTTGTTGATTCCAATGATACATAACGAAGATAAATGACAATTTGACTCCTTAATTTTCGATATTAGAAATGCAATTGTTGGTTCAAAAGACTGTCGAGATGTACCGATTGCAAGATATTCTAGTTGCGGACACAGATTCATCAGCATTTTAATCGTCTTCAATGTATATCCACATTCAAAAGTAACACTTTTTATTTTATTTTGTTTTGATACCAATTGAAAACGTTCACTTCGTTCCAATGACACACCCTCATCCCTCAATCGTGTCCAGGATCCATAGGTTAATGTATCAATATTAGGCATCACAAGTAACATATTAACTAAATCGTCAAAACCAAAAAAATTGCTGTCAATATTTAGTTTCGTAATTTGTTTCCAAGGAATAATATATTGAAGATTATCACTCGCAAAACATTTCGAACGAGGACAACAGTACTTAGAGAGAGTTAATTGGTTAGCGTTTGGAGAATATTTTGAACCATCAGTTGTTGCTGTTGCATCTTCGATAATAACATGATAAACTGAATCAAAAATTGTTTTTTCGTCATTTACATCTTTATCTAAACTTGATTTGTCAGTGAATGTCGAATGGACCACTCCATAATAACGCTTATAAAATGAGAATTCATATTCCTGTGTAAAGAACCATTGTTGTTGAGACCAAAATGAGGAATTTAGTTCGTCAAGTATAAAACCATCGTCAGGACCAATATGGGCAGTATACTGATACCAGAAAATTTGTAATTTAAATGTTCGTAAATATGCCATATCTAATAGAAACAACTTTTCCCAACGTTTCGTGTCTGAAAGACGAGATAGTTCTGTTGTTGAAATACACAATGTTTGAACTTTACGAAAATAGCTTTGAATAAATTGTTCGAGATCGTCAAATTCTACTTGCTCTAATGTAAGAGAGACAGAAGTCAAATTATTTAAAGCAAACGAGCAGTCTGTTATTCTTCTAGGAAGCGGTAGATGTATGCAGCCTATTGATAAGCGACGAAGTTGAGGAACATATGATAGAATATCATATAGGTCAAAAAGAAAATTTTTGCAAATAATGATGAGATGTTCAATAGAACTTGATGTATTAGTTGATATTGGTTTTATTGAATAACGAGCATTTTCAGAGAATGATATTTTGCAATATTTTAATACTGGTAACTGAAAAATTAAATCAAAGACATTTGTTTCGTCTAAATCATAATCAAAATGGATAGTTAATGAAGAAAGATTTGGCAAAGAAAGTAAACGAGTGAAAAGATGTTGTGTAGATTTTGGTTTAATGTTACGAAGAATCAATGTTTGCAATTGAGAGTATGTTGAAATATCTTCTGTTTCAAAGACAAAGAAATCAATAACGAATATATTTGATAAATTAAGTAATCGAATTCTGTGTTTATTTGGTGCTATAAAATGTTTATAATAATCGTGAAATTGTGATTTAGATAAAGTTGAAATATTGATTTTGAGTAGAAAAGTTGAACCAATCAGATAATTTTGAAAACGCATATTAAGATTAAAAAAACTTTGATAAATATCATAAGCATCAAGATATTCAAGAATTTTATAAATAAGTTCAGTTGAAAGATCTTCGAAATGAGTTTCTGGTTTTCTTAATAAATAATGAGCAATAAGATGAAAAATAAACCTATTAATAATGTACTAACCTGTCCATATTGATTGCTCTTATTAATTGATGTGATTTGTATTTGAACTTTTTCTTGCCACTGTCAGCCATCACAGTAGTCTGTTTATTTTTTCGTTTACTCATATTGAAATTAATATTATAAAACTCAAAGAATTTGTTGAAAGAATCTTTTCAAAAGGCCGGATCTTATAGTAAAGTATATGAAGATATTTCAGATTGATTGTGCAATTACATATTATTGTGCCGATATATACGTCACGGCTCGCTGCTCTTCCTCTTTCCTCTTTCTCTCTGTATTGTTCTCTCTGTGTCATCTCTCTCTTTCTCTTTGTTTCTCTATCATATATAAGCTTGTATTGAATGTGCAATAGACACATTCTGGAGATGTAAAGTAGCTAATAAACATCATTACCGAGGGTGACGGTAAGCTACTTCTCCAGTCTGTCACATCACCATTCTTCCTTTCATTTATCGTTACAATTATCTTTTGTGTAAATCATAACAGAAGAGAGAATAAAAATTCTTTATAAGAAAATGAAGTAAACAACAGAGATGGGATCGGTTGATAGTTTTTTCAAACCAAATCGAACCAAACCGACAAAAATTTTATTTCAACCGATCGTAACCGACCGAATTTAGAAAAGTTTCTTAACCAGTATAATGCAGAAAAACAAAAGAAGTTATTAGAGTCCCACTTACGGTTTGCGGATTGCATAGAGAAAGATAATTTTATATATAATTTTCATTATCTGTTTTCATTAAATCAAAAATAATATTTTCAAAATCTTTGAAAAACCATAAAAACAAATTTACATCAATTTTTTTCTAATATATCAGTTTGATCAAATACTTTTTTTATATAAATTGGATGATCGATTAAAAACCATATCGTTGACGATATTTGCAGATAATTTTGAGCGTTTTTGTGTAATGATATTACCGGCAAGACTGAATTCTCTTTCAACACTAGCACTTCAAGCTGGTACAGCAAAAACACAAGCAGCTATTTTTGAAAGAAGAGGATACGACACATTCATCTTTTTCCAGAAGGATAGAGGATTCTTATTTTCCTATTTCTGTGTTTCAGCAAACGAGGCGTTAAAATGAAAAAAAATTTTGTCTAATATTTTTCAACTAAATCGATCTGAACCGAAAAATTCTTCATGTTGACCGATCGTAACCGACCGAGTTTTTTAAAACATCCAATCGGACTGACTTCGGTTACGGTCGATCGATCCGGTTCGGTCAAAAAACCGGACCGGTCCCATCTCTGGTAGGTTTCTACTATGGCAAATGATATAGACGTGAATCAGCGTGAAGTTTTCTAACTTCATATTGGATCAGCAGGTGTCGAAATCGGTCATCAATGTTGGGAATTATATTGTTTGGAGCACGGTTTGGCTAGCGATGGTAGTATTATAAATGAAACAAAACAATGTATTTCTCCACCTTGTTTTTTCTCAGAAAAGAATGATAATAACCATAAAAAGTATCGTACTCGAGCTCTATTCATTGATTCTCACTTTTCTACTATGGATGAGATCAAATCCAATAAATACGGAAATCTATATAGTCATGATCAGTTTTACGTATTTGAAAATTTTTCGGAACCGATTTTGGACAGAATTCGAAAACAAATCGAAGATTATGATAATTTCCAAGGTTTTATTATATTTCATGCTACATATGGTCAATGTTCTAGTTTTACTTCTGAACTTCTACAGAAACTGATTTCCGATTATTCATCGAAAACGATTGTGATGAATTCTATATTTGGTTCATCGATAGATGTTATCAGTATGTACAATCTACTAAAATTTGCTCATGTCGTGATATCCATGGAAAATAAAGCTATTTTTGATCTATGCAAACATCGTCTTGAGATTTATACTGCAACATATGCAAATGCAAATAGACTGATTGCTACGTGTTGGAGCAAGGGGGAACAAACTGATTTCGTGATTTCGTGATTTCAAGTGATTTCAAGTGATTTCAAATGATTTCAGATGATTTCAGGTGATTTCAGATGATTTCAGGTGAGTTCAAGTGATTTCAGGTGATTTCAAATGATTTCAAGTGATTTCGGATGATTTCAGGTGATTTCACATGATTTCAGATGATTTCAAGTGATTTCAAGTGATTTTAATGATTTCTAGTAGCAACCAAAACAGTCATCTTTCGTTATATCATTGAAAGACACATTGCTTATCTATCAATATTAATGTAATTAGACTAATATTATAAGAGTATACGAATTTTGCTGAAGAAAATCGTGATAAAGCAAAGCAGGTCGACGACCTAGAGTTTCCAGATACTGCAGGTGTTCGTCGAAGACGAGCCCTTTTCCTGTCAATTCCTTCTGGTACCCGTGTAATTCCTGCCGAAAAAAAAATTTGCGGAAGATGGAAGCAGTATTCTAATCGCAGAATAAGAGTGCTAGAACCGGTCACTTCCCAACACTTTTCATGATTGAAAAAATCGTGTAACTATACCGGACTCTGCTACGAACACTGGTGAGCATTTAGTTGTATCCATGCGGAATCATATCGGAATCAGATCTTATTTCTACAGAAACATATCAGGAATAAGGCATGCCCGGGAAAGCCATTAAAGGTCTTTTTCGATTGAAATATGTACTTTAGTCTCAGAAATACCTTGCAAATTAGGCAATCACCAAGGGGGAACAAACTGATTTCTTGATTTCCGTGATTTCTAATGATTTCCAGTGATTTCTATGACTAGAAATCAGTTTTTCTATATTTATGGTGAATCGATAGAAATTATAGAAAATGCTTAAAAATGAAGGAAAATCAGTAGAAATCATCAAAATTCAAGAGCAACCACCACATGAAATATTGATAAACACTTAGAATTAAAGAAATCAAAGAAATCACCAGAAATCACTAGAAATCAGGGTTCTATTTTTAACTTTACTAGTAGAAGGTTTCTAAGATTAAAATTGATTTCTGGTGATTTCTCACGTTTTCTAATATCTCTTGATGGTTTGGAACATTTTTTAACCACTTCTGCTCAGTATTTCTATACTTAAGCTTTTAAAGTGATTTCCGGTGATTTTCAGTGATTTCTAGGCACAGAAATCAGTTTGTTCCCCCTTGGCAATCACTGAAAAGGTCTGTAGCGATGTTTCTCAATGAAGTATCTGAATTGCATGGTGTTTTTCAGAGTCACATAGCCGTATGAATAGAGAATGATCTTTAAAGAGCTTTTCCTATAGAAGTAATGATTGGAGTATAGGTAGCCGGCTCTAAATCAGATACGCGAAAAAAGATTTATTTTGCTGCTTTTCTTGGATTTTCATAGGCTTTCATAGACAGATATTGTTTTATATGTAGTTACAGATCGAGACACTACTTAGAAACATATTTTGGTTAAGCATTATCTTCTGTGGAGAGTGTGAATGTGCAGGTACGGAGTGTGGCACGGGAAGTGGTTGTTTAGGTGCGACTATCGTGCAGTACCTGTAGGCTGGCATTAATGCATTGTCTTAATTCAAAGTCACATCCACCCAGATCCTCACATCATCTATACACATCATTAATTTAATGCATGATAATTTCGGAGGGCGGCGAGGGGCGAAGAAATGTTACTTTGATGTGCTATTCGATGCCATTTAATCTATTTTCAATTCATGCTCATGTTACTGCTACGTGTCCTACGACTGGAATGAAACTTACTGTGTCGTACGATCATACACATAGCACGATGGCCGTTCGTTAGAGAACAGCTCGACTATTCTGCTTTGTGAAGATCAATAGTAGGTTTGCGACTTTTAATGGCACGGTAATTTTTTTGTCTCTTTTTCGTTTGAATAAATAAAAATTAAGTCTTTTCGAAGATCGCTCATATAGATCACGTGACGCAGATCTTTTCTTTATTCACACTCGACATTCACAACCACACCCTACCTTGTCATCTTGATTAAAAAATAGGGGCCTAGACGGCTATCTCAACGGAAACGAGTGTTCGTATCTGAGTCTCTTCCAGATGTCCATATTGTTGGGAACTAAGCCGTAGCTGATTTAGGAATCCTGCTTCAGGAATTCACGGAAAATTCATCATATCCAACCATTTCCTGTTGTATATGTTTGGTCTGAGCAGAAAAAATAAGGAGATGTAAATAAAGTCGTCGAACACAACGATAAGATTTGTTGTTAAAAGACAGTAGACAATAAATTCATAGATGTCGAAGTTAAGCGATGACCGAGGAGCATCCAGTCACATTTCAGTCCTGCATATAGGCGGAGCAAACTGAATTCTAAGCCAGGAGTCATTAGACATCATTGCAATTTTACAAAAATCACTTTAATTCCAAAATTATACGAATCACGACTGGAACTGATCTTACAGTGTCGGAAAATATCAGAAGCAATTAGAAACTATGGAAAATTATCAGAAACCAATGGAGATCACTCTAAATCATAGAAAATCTTCATTAATAAAGTTGAAAGTAAAGCCTTGATTTTCACTGATTGTATGTGGTTTTTCTTTACTTTCAGTAATTGCCAATACTTCTAGTGATTCCTCTTTATTCATGATTTTGAATAATTTTCCTTTATTTCTAAGTAATTTTGATCATTCTCGGTGATTCGCGGTGAATAGATGATAAATGATTTCAAGTGATAGAATTAGGGATGCAACGGTAACGGTGAACCGTCCACACTCTAAAAAAATCGGTTTTTTACCGAACCTCCAAAAAAGGTTCCGGAGATGTCTAAAAGCGTCCAAAGATGTCCAAAGTCTCAAAAAAACGATAAAAAAAATCTACGAAACCTTTAAAGGTTCTTACCGTGTGCCCAGGATAAGAACCTTTTCCTGCGAAACCTTTTTTTAAGTTCCGTACAGCAGAAAAAGGTTTCGTAGGAAAATACGAAACCTTTAGAGTTTCATATTAAACCCTAATAGTTTCGTACTAAACCCTCATGATATCGTAGAGTTTAATACGAAACGCTAAAGGTTTCGCAGGAAAAGGTTCTTATCCTGGGTACACCGTAAGAACCTTTAAAGGTTTCGTAGATGTTTTTTATTCTTTTTTTGAGGCTTTGGACATCTTTGGACGCTTTTAGACATCTCCGTAACCTTTTTTGGGGGTTCGGTAAAAACCGATTTTTTTTTAGAGTGCAGTGGTCCACCGTAGTACCGATCGCACCAGTCTTCGTTCTCCTGGTGGTATAGTGAACTGGTATCACCAGTCCCTTGCTCAATTTGTAGTAGATTCCTATTAAAACAGCACTTAATTGCTAACGGTAACTTGCAAAGTCAATTTTCCGGTTAGGAGTGACCTGGATTGTGAAAGTAACGTTCTTGTCGCGAGCTTTTATTAAATACTTTTCGGGTGCATCTAACGATGGGGACGGTGAAACCATGAAAAACCTACATTAATTGCCGACGTGTTAGCACAGTTGGCTTCTATTAGCAGAAAGGCATGCCAATAATGGGGAAAGCTGATCATCCCCTTAGGTCCCTGATGCGCTAACCTGCTTCGTCGATTTTAGCCCTGACGCCTGAAACTATATCCCTCCATACTTCTAACAAGATTTTGCATTCCCAAATACCTTTGCATTATGAGATACTAGCTGTGTGAAATGACCGGTCTTAGCTGTACTGTGTACAAGCTTGTTGCCTTAGTCATCACCATCACTGTTTCAAGCCAACAATTATACGAATTTAGAAAGTCGTCTATTGACCTTAGCTTTCATGGATTCGCTAGCTCTAACTTCGATTATTGACTTGGAATCGGTCAGTATTAGTTGAAATTGGAATTGAGCGGATCACCATTTCAATTAGTTCGAATCGGAATTGAATAGAGGCGGGACGTTACCTTTCCGCTGACAGTTACTGGGTAACAAAAAATTATTGCTTCTCATTCTTTTGTTTTGGTAAGACTATAATATGGAAGTAGTGATTTTTTATAGTTTGACCAAATTAGCTGCGATTGAGGAAACCGACTTTGTAACCATTTTTTCCAAATTGTGTACTGGGTTCTTTCACCAAAAAGGAAAAGGTTTTTGGAGAAAATGACGATCTTTTTATAAACCTTGATCAAAGATATTCGGCATCAAAGAGTCTGATTCTTTAATCAGCTTCTCGGAATTCTATACTTTCCTCCATAGTCATGTTCTCTACTCTGAATACCTTTGGTCAACCTTTACAAAAAAAATCGACATTTTCCGATAACTAAATTGTCTTGACGAAGGAATCAAATTAAAAAATTTTCCATCACTGAGTAGCAGCTAAAGGAGCTGTTTATGTTACGATAACTTCGCACCTTTCACGGATTCCAACTAAAATTAGGTCAAAATTGGAGCTAGTGCATCTCTAGTGCGCCAACGTAGTACATTTAGACCGATGGTACCGTTACCGTTGAATTCTTAGATAGAACTCATCACAAACCGAAAAATCATTCGAAATTGTAGAAATCAAGAAATTCGTTTGTTGTCCCTTGCTCATGCATAGTGCTATTTACATCATCTGCTTCGTCAATTACTTGATATAATAATAATATATATCAATGTAAAGTCGTAATATTGGCTTATCATGAATAAAGGTCTCAGGACTTATCGTTAATTCACTATTCATTTTGTGATAAAATCAACAGAAACTATATTAGAACCTGATACTCTTGTTTTTCTTTTATTGCATATCCAAAATTCTGAGAAATTGACATGAATACATGAGTAATGATTTTCATTGATCTCAAGTGGTTTCAGGTGATTTCAAATGATTTCACGTGATTTCAAATGATTTCACGTGATTTCAAATGATTTCGGATGATTTCAGGTGATTTCACGTGATTTCAGATGATTTCAGGTGATTTCAAGTGATTTCAATGATTTCAAATGATTTCACGTGATTTCAAATGATTTCACGTGATTTCAACTTGATTTCTGATGATTTCACGTGATTTCAAGTGATTTCAGATGATTTCACGTGATTTCAGATGATTTCACGTGATTTCAGATGATTTCACGTGATTTCAGATGATTTCACGTGATTTCAGATGATTTCACGTGATTTCAGATGATTTCACGTGATTTCAAATGATTTCACGTGATTTCAACTTGATTTCAGCTATTGAAATCAGTTTGTTCCCCCTTGTGTTGGAGTCATATTACATGTTCCATGAGAATTGATGGATGTTTGCTGACAGATTTGAACATATTTCTGACAGCACTAGTTCCTTTTCCTACCTTAAAAATAATCTCATTGTTCATTTCACCATTGATTCCATTTTCAAGCAGTATACACAGTGACTTCAAGTCACCATCAGTGTACGATATGTGGGTTCCATTATTCTATCAAGCTCATACTTGTTTTGTACATCAATCGACTTCATACAAGATGCTATTAGCTACTGCATTATGTTTTCGAGGTGAAAATATTATTCCCAAAGAAATCGAACAAAAATTAATTATTGATATGAAACAATGGTGGCGATTTTGTGATTTATCACCGACTGGATTTAAATGTAGAATAAATTATTGCCGTCCTTATATTTTCCAAGATATATCCGATCTTGTATGGGCTGATAAACAAGTATGTGCATTAGCTAACGAAACAAATGCATCCCCAAATATCTTTGCAATATGAGTTTGAGTCAATCAAATGAATCTTACAAAGCACAAAATGAACCAGTAGAACTCATTGAAGCACATGATTATTTGCAAGGACTACAAAAAGATTATCAAGAGCTGGAAAATGAAATTATCAACACCAATGAATTGAATCTGAACATTTCTTTTGAATAACTGATCGATACCTACACTAGTAAACTATTCATATACCTAAATTCAAAATTTCTTTTAGTTTGATCACCAAGATTCTTCGTTCATTGGGTGTGAGTGTGGATGTGTGGGGTGTGTAGATGCAGATGGTAAGAGAGTACATACCTACATTCATACCGTAGTAAGAATATATCCCTAATTTGTTTTTTGTGTCGAAAACTAGTTAGGAATTCATAATATGGTGTATTTTCGCTGATTACATTACATATAAAAAATAAAACTGTCACTACACAAGAGCCAAAAACTTCTGTGAAGAATTCTGCAAATGATTTAATCAGAGCTAAATTTCTGTGATCGATACCGAACCCTAATATACACTACACACTCTCTTATTCATCCCGTCATCCGCAGATGCATCATCAACTTTATTTTTTTCTCATGAGCAAAGACCTTTTTTATTCTTTCTTCTGTTTGAAATAAAGAAAAAGAAGTGTGCACATCGTATTTATGAATTTAATGAGCCAACCACTAGCATGAAAAGAAAGAATAAAATCTCATTGATATGTGCACTCAATCAAACGTTAATCATCATATTTTGTTTCATGATGTCATTACTTTCAACACTTCGAAAGTTGAATCAACGTGGAAACTGTGACTCATTGGGTTTTTTTATACAATGTGTAAAATTCCAAGGAGTTGAGGTAATTTCCTACATACAAGTTTATATAAATAGGTGTGAATAGAAGGCATGATAGTAAGTTTTCAAAGTATCTAAGGTTGTATTACAGATTAGAATGTCTATTCTACAATGTCTCGGATGTCGAACGCGGCATAAAACGGCGCCACATAGATCTTTAATGCCTTTAACTCAAAAATTAAATATGCTTAATCTTTCGAACGACAATCAAGCCTACACAACAAATCATCAGCCTACCGGTAAAGCAAAATTACTCGATTCTCGACACAATAAACAAGTCCATAATGCAGTACGAGTATTGAAAAAATATTCTCAAATAAAACCAATAGATGATGGTCATTTTCCCACTCAAGTGAAAACACAAAACATAGAACGAACAGATCTTAACACGAGTGAATTAATTACAACATTACATAGGCTCAAGAGACGATTGGCTCGATATGAAAAATACTTGAGAAATACTCCTGTGAACACACCACAACACCATAGATATTTGACCCACCGACAGTTTTTAAGACGAAAACTTCGTGAGGTCAGAAAAAGATTAGTAATGCAATAACTTAATTATGCAAACCTGGTTAGAATGATGGATCAAAAGAAGTTATTAAAATCTATTTTTTTATTCATCAAAGCTTTCCATTTTTCCTCGAACTCCGAAGTTGAACACATTCAATGATTAAAATATGAATTATTATCTTGATCATTTTGTTAAAATGAAACATCATATAGAGAAAAAACATTTTCAATTATGATTACCAAGGAACCTGTCACATTGAATCGAATCATCGATTACAAACATGGCCATGTTGATTTAGTGACTCACATTGTAAATATTCACACATTCGTTTGATACACAAAAGCGCCACATCGTTTATGCTTTTTTACCGCCAGATGACAATCACATACGTGACGAAAGAGAAATCTAGTAGTCACCAACTCCACTTGCCGATACTGTATATGACGCCAGCATTTAAGTGCAGGGCATCTCATCACAAATGTGTCCGCCTATACACATTTTATATTAGAGTCACATTTACCCAGTTTCATCAACTATCTCTTTTGTTCTAGACGTCCTGTGGAAAAAAGAAAAAAATCAATTTTCTAGAAAAAACTTGTTTGTTCAAATGTGCACATTCCTTTTCTTTTTGTTACATAATAATATATTACAAAATTTTTCTGTTTTGAGTGAATACTATTTTCATAAGCAGACAATAATAAAAATAAAACATAAAGTTCAATACAAATGATATCAGGAAAACGAGCAACATTCATATTAGTGTTCGAGAAAGTAACTAAGTAGACGCACATGTAGCGTAACCTTCAATTACTTCAACGCCTTATTCATATTTCAGTGATTCAGTAAGTTGGTTTTCGTTTTAACAACACTTTTCGTAACAACACTCGAGCTTAAAATCTCGCCGGAGATTGTGTGCGAACGTCCAACTTAATTAGTGGCCCCTTTTTTATGGCTTGGCTGTGGGTGTCTCTCTTCTATTGTGCTACATCAACACCCACACCCTTGGATCGACTTGTTTTATTCAATTGACGAATCATAGCTGGTAAATATCTACTTGTCATCATCTTTCTAAGATATTTACTAAATACACTATTAACTTTCACAAAACGAGACTGGTAAATGATCAATCTTTTTCTCTGAGTTCGAACTCTGTGCATGACGTTTACTTCAATGTAATAAACTGAAAAGAACGGAATGTCATCATATTAGCGTCGTAGAATAAAAGAAATATTGATATCTTATCTACACTCTATAGGCTAGAAGACATGAGTGGTATCACTGATTGAATGCAATAACACTGAAATAACATCGTATTTGGCAATAGATGAAGAATTAAAGAGAAAAAGTTCTCTCCATTTCATCCACCATTTATAAAAACATATTCTTCAATGTGTCATAAATAACCTTGACAGATATGAAACCTACTGCTTGAAAAAAATTCATTCTTTTTTTTTATTTTTATGTACGTGATAAGACAATCAATAAAGAAAAGTAAAACATCTCTTATTAATGTGAAGAGGTTAGTATAAAAGTCATATGACAAAAAACATGCATACAGACACAATTAAACGACTATCGGCTTGGTAGAATCTAGTATATTTCAAACAAGAATATTATAAATGTCACAAAGAGTAAAAACTATTTCTGATTCACTCAATAGTAAGTACATCAACAACGGCATCATCAGACAATAGTTCAAAATCATCTTGTTATATGAGATTACTGAGTTCAGTGGAAGACCATGTTCATTTTGAAATATTCACATCGATGGTTGGCCCTGTATTCGAAATTTACATAATCAGATTTTTGAAGAGGCAAAGTGATCGAAACAATATATAAAAACATCCGAGCATCGTTTTAGAGATACTCTATCTACAAATATCTATCTTCACGACATGTATTGTCTATGTTGTCATTTTCATTGACAATCGAGCGAGACACTCAATGATATGACATCTTCTGTCAGAAGTACATCTTTCACATGCGTCATGAGTGGACATAGGTCTTAAGTCAGTGATGTTCTATTTTCTGAGAAGGTATGATTGGATTTGTATCGTATCCATGGGAGGCTCTGAGACAGATTTTACATCTCTGTTATACCGAACTAATCTATTAACAAATACTTTTACATATGCTCCATGTCAGATTTCTTTGGTAGGTAACATTCCTGAAATAATTTCTATGTATTCATATTCAATTCATGATTGATAAGGTTTTTGAATGATAACCTATTGGAACATATGACTTTGTATCGTAGTTTCAACAAAGAAAATAGTAATGAACAAAACAAACACACAGCATATGAGATTTATTATAATTCAGCTTTCTTTGATCTTATGAAAGACAAAGCATTCTATGAAAAATCGGAAAAAATTTGCCATAATTATGTAATAAAAAAAGCACCAACGTTGATCTGGCAACAGCAGAACACAATTAACGTGTTGCTAAAACAACTTCATATTTCAAAGATAAATATTTATAGAAAAATGAGGCTAAAGCAACAGGTACGAAAAGTGGAGTACGTAAGTCTGATAAAAAAATAAAGAAAATAAAAAAAATATTGAATATCGTAGTCAGAAAGCAATCGTCGATAAAAAGATTGAAAAACAACTAATTGAAACTTTTATGGCGTGTAATTATTTACTACAAGCACTTTCAAGAATTCCGTATTATCAAGGTTATACTTCGCGATCTTGTTATCTGACAGACAATGAATTAGAATTTTATAGACTAGGTTCAGTTATTATATGGTCTCAATTTAGTGATACATATAAAGGCACAACAAGGCATACTAGCTTTGATTTTCCTCATCGAAACACATTTTTCAAGATCTATTCGGTAACTGGTCGTTCCATTAAAACATTTTAAAATTATGAAGATGAAGATGAAGACGAAGTTGTATTTTTACCTGATTCCATGTTTCTCATCATGCCCAACAACATGGAATTTATATACGTCTAATCGAACTAGGCTTATCAAGATCATGTGTATTATGGATTGATGAGGAAATCTTAAAAGATAATTGAACTATTGAAACTTATATGATCGGTACAGAAGCCAAAGATCCGAAGAAGAACATACATTTCATTCAAAAATCATCTACTGATCATGCACCATCATTTCCTCGCTTACCTTTTGGACAAAGTCTTAAAAATAGAGACACATTTCATCTTGTTACTGATATGCATCGAAATAATGAAGAACCAGCGAATAATGCAGGTGTACGTTTTATAGAGGAAATAAGAATATTTGATTTCAATAATCGCTGTTGGTTATTCGTGAGCAACAGACAAAAAACTGAAGAAATTATTAATACTGAATTAAATTTTAATGAATGGCAGTTGACAGAAATAAATACTTTCGATAGTGACTTTAAAAATTTCATCAACCTCTAGACTGCAATTTAAAAGTATCGCATACTGGAAATATTTTGTGAAAAACTTTTGAACCTAGCTTAGACTTTGGTATTGTCTTTATGATTATCTTTGTTAGAACTAATAAAAGTCACGTGACAGAAAGTATTTCGAGACTAATATGTAACACAAATACTGAATAGAATAGAGTTTCGTTGATTCAGGTTCATTTGATTCAATTCGAGTTCTTCTAAATTTGCTGAACTACTACAACTAAGCTGTGGGAATGTTGATTTGAA